CTAATTCTATTTTTAGCATGTAAATTCAAAATAAAGTTTCATAGCAATGCATACATCGAATTATGGAATCAAAAGTCATTTTAACTTATTGAATCTTATAAATACAACCCGAATACGATAAAAAAATTTTGGGGTACGTTCAGAACGATCAGAACATATAAAATTTTTATACAAAAATCCCTTCTGTTTTAGTCCAAAAGGAAATGTGGCGGATCACGAGTAAGATAGCAACCAATAAATAAGATGAACAACGCTAATCATAAACTTTATTAGAAACAATCAGCTGCATGCCGACAAAGAAAGATTAGAGTGGGTTAAAGAAATCTATACATCAGCATTGCAGATTTGAACTTTTGATATTTTTTTTTGTTTATATAACTGCCTTTCATTAATAATAGTTTTGAAAGTCTTTTTTGCCAATAATAGAAGAAGCTATTTCACCTGAAATCTTCAGGTTAATTCTTGAGTAAAATTTCATGTTACTATTTCTGACTTGACAGCTTGATTAAATTTTAATAAACGCGAAATAACGCGCAGGGGTGTAATTTGAATTTTGACCAAAATTAAGCTTAATTCGGACCATTATTCAAAATAGCATCCCTGCGCGTGCGCATTATTTCGTATTTAACTTTTACAGACGTTGATAATTTAGGTTTCGTTATAACCACAGATGAAATGTTACTCCAAAATCTAGTAAGTTCTTTATAAAATATCTTTATTAACAAATCTTTTAAGGATTTTTTACCCGAAATTGAAAAATGGATATTTTGTTTAGTATAATAAATAAAGGTAGGCCTCCTTCTTTATATTTTATAATAATAGTTATATAATGTGTGATTATAGCTTAAAAAAATTCTTAAATTTTAAGAACAATTTCAGTCAAATCTTTATTTATTATTTAATCCATCTGATCGAAATTTTTGAAGGAATATTATTTTGAAGTTGTTTTTGCATATAAATTTTGTAAGGAACAGAAATATATTTTGTATAAATTTCTAAATAAAGTATACGATTTTTATATAAACATGTACTAGGAAAGTTTCAAAGTAAATATAGTTTAAAATGTTTACACATTTGATGTATAGGCTTTTTTTCACGTTAAGGTAGGGATTAGATTATAGGACACCATCATTGGTGTAAGAATTACTTTTACAATACTGTCATATTTTGTACAATCAAGCTACTTTCTATAGTAAAAATCAACTATAACTTTGACTATAAAGTTAGAATCAAAAGCTAGTCTATATAACATTTGATAAAAATTTTGTTAATGAAACTTATCGTTTTGCTATAGCGAAAGTGACTTATTCATTTTGATATACTCAAAATTGACGCTACGATTTGATTGTGGATAAGTTACGTGCCCGCACTTTTTTACTGGGTATGCGATCACGTAACATAAGCTACGTATTTAGCTAATGAAGATCAGCACAAGATTGAGGACGTAAGACTAAGACTGGTCTTTTTGGGACTGATTAGTCCCTATAAATAAAGACATTTAAATATTGAAAAAAAATTTATTAGAACATTAAAATTGAAAAATTATAATATAAATTTTATAAATAATAAAAGGTTTTTTTCCACGCATAAAAAAATTATAATTTAATTTTCATTATAATATTAAAATTGAAAAATTAATATCGATATATAATTTTAGAAATGATAAGAACATTTTTCCGAGTATAATAATTAGTGATTTGAATGATTGATTATGTATTTTATGCTTCAACAATTTTCCCTGTATCAAGAGCTTCATCACCTTTGAAAATAGTAAGGTTATGATTAACTATTAAATTAAGAATTCCAATGGCGCCAGGGAGTTTTCTACTCAATGGACCGGCTTTAGGTGGCTCAATAGCCAGACCAAGATTGGAGAAAGATATTTTAGCCTCAACAAGCTCAGAAAACCCTATAAAGTAATTATCTGGTGTATTTTCTCCAATGCCTTTCTTGATTTCTCCATCAATATTGAGAACAAATCCGAGTTCTGATGATTCAATTGTAAATGCACCTTCAAGTTTTGAAAAATTTACTTGAGCTTTTTAACAGGTTTAGGAACACGAGGAACATGAAGAGCAGTTGCTTGTAAATAGGTAAAAATGAACGCGAAAAGAATAAAGGTAGTGATAACCCTAGTTTTTATCATTTTGAATAGTGTTTAATTTTGTTGCTTTTTTTCAGCAGGTAAAAACTTGCTCTTTTTATATTTAATTTTTTTATTCGAAAAATTAGCGAATATATACTTCTTAATCTTTAGTCCATTTAATAGTTAATAATTTAGGTACTTTATTTCAATTATTTAATTAATTCAGGCAAATCTTTATTATGCCGTCATCAATTTCATATGAGTCCGTGTTAGAAGTAGAGATTGGCAAAGTAATAAAATCTATCCTTTATTTTCTATTCAAAATACAATCCGAATCATATTAGATTTACAGACATATTTTATTAGTAAAATCATGCGGATGATTTTTTTCTCCACAACGGCGGGAATAAGAGGTAAATCCCATTTTGGGGATCGAAGGGTCCCACAATAACATACGCTATTTAAATTAAACAATTATAGAAATCCCATTTAGTTCACACATTGAAAGTCTAGCACTAAATAAAACGACTTATCTTTTTTTATTTCATAAATATTATTAATGCATTTTTCGCTGAGTTAAAGATTAACATAAAGATCGTTTTTAGTGCCATATTGAATATTTATATTGAATAAGTGTATTGGATATATTATTAAAAGAAAAACCAAGATTAAGTGATGGAGTTTTTAGATCCTGCGTATTAACAAAAAAAAATAAAAAATTATTCATGAAATTTTAGTAATTAGACACGTCCAAAATGTCCGTGCTTAATGTAAATCGATACATCGTACTGTAAATCAGAATAGATTAATCGCATAACCAATATTCCGGGTCGGAATGGGTCAGAATTGATAAATTTTGCTAATAATCCAGTATTTCACGCGCTAAGTAAAATTGCCAATAGTTAGTTATTATTATTATTATTGATTGTAAATCGCATGATCATAACATATTGGGGGCTATGATTCTTTCGAAGGGTGAATTAAGACCACATATGTAAGAATAACTAACGATGTTATTTATAGATAATATGATGAATGTATTAGAGAATTAGAGATGATAATCAATCACACAATATCTAATTATTCAATCTTATTGTTCAAAAATTTTTTGTCAATACGCTCTATAGTGGGAAAAATCGAATTCATTAATCATTAAACTTAATTCAGAATACCCATCCTATTCTAAAGATATGAAAAAAATGACTGAGTATGATCGATCATTCGTGATAGATCATATGAAAATCAAAAAAAATTTTGTTCGATCACCATCTCTAGAATGAATGATATAATATGTAATCCCCTGTCGCACTAAGTGTCACTCATGACTACCTTCATTATTATTTTTTACACGTCATTAACCATATTTATAATAATTAATTTTGATTTGAATCATTTTTCTTTTTTGTATTTTCACGTTTTATCTAAAGAACTTTAAAAGTCAAAGTAAATATACACAGTAAAATGAAGCTAAAAAAAGGCACGATAAGAGCAAAGTGAAAATAAGTGGTTGAAAAAAGTTAAACGTAGAAGAAAAATGCAAAGGCGATAAAAAGAGTAAAACAATAAAAATGATGTAAATAAAAAAAATAATAAAGCGAAGCCCAAAAGTTAGTAAAGCACAATACGAATATAAATATGGAACACGTGTAAAAAAATTGTAAGGTAGTCCGATTAACATCTAGTGACACGCTCCTGGGGATTACTTATTTATTTCCTGTGGGGAAATAAATAATACTAATGTACAGTAGTATGACATAAGATAGCGAATTGGAATTAAAAAAAAAAAGTAGCACACTGTAATAAAAAAAAAAAAAAAGATGGCCTAAATGTATGAACACAAAATGTGTAGAAATCATTTGAGAGCTGCCAAAAGAAAATGAAACTTCGGACTTTCATTTACTTTTATTTAAATTAGCTCGTGATTACATGTCATAGATGTTATTATCAGAATTTTAAAGGCCAAATCCGTAAATAATAAATTATAAAATTAAAGGTTTGAAGCATTCATTTCCTTCTCTCATTTGATAGTTCATCTATGAAAATAACAACTTTAATTTTATATTTAATTTTTTTATTTAATAATATAAATGCTATTAATATATTTTAAATTATAATTTAAAATTTTCCTAGATATTAATTTAGAAAATGTAACTTGCATATTTTAAATGAGCATCATTCTTCACCGACAATTTACTAAAAATATGTACCTGCGACTAATAAAACGCTAACCCTAACCCAATGTGGTTAGCTAAATGAACTTTTGTTGAAATGATTGCCGGTAACACCGAATCTAATGAAGTACAAAAAGAATTACGACAAATTTTATTAGCATCATTTAAATCAGAAATTCTTTAAGACAAAATGCTTGCCTTTTGGTAATATTTTAAGGTAGGATGTTGATCACCTAAAAGATGTGGGATAATCAAAATGGATTACAGAAGATCGTATAATAATAATAAGGATGACCAAAAATAGTATGGTAAAGGGTGTAATACTTGTTTCTGAGAGTAATACAATTTCAAAAAAGGAAACAACTATTACAAATTATTTTGTACTTAACATCGTTATATAATATATTGCCACCCAGTTTAAGATTACGCATAAGAATTATAACGTGTAGTACAGGGGTGTGGGACAAGGTAAAAAAAAACTAAAAATACAATTAGCTGGTGCTTCGAACGGGTCGGGTTGACAATTTTCGGGTTATCCGAACCGACCCGACCCGAATTTTAGGGCTAATCTATTGATTTTTTTTAAAAAAATGAATTCAATCGCCCTTTTTAATACTCAGAATCGGGTCGGGCCAACCCGAAGCCCTACTCGAAGTTTCGGGTTCGGGTTAGAAAAATCTGACCCGAAAATTATCCAATTTAGAGTTGCTTGAAATAAGTAGTTTATGTTTTTTTTTTCTAATTGCAAAGCGATATGTATTTTCAAACAATTAAATATTTTATATAAAACCTCAAAAAACAGTCTAGCTTTCTTCAAACAATCGACACAAAATTGTCGCTCGATTTTGATTGGTTAACGGCCGTAGATCTGCACAATTACAACTTTTGATTTTTTTTTCATTACAAAAATATTACAAAAATTGAAATTTTGGGAAAATAATCCCGCATTATGGTAAAATTAACCCAGGAAAAATTTTCACTTAATAGGCTTTATGGTTTCATCATTAGTAGAATTCTGGGTAATTCCGGCCAAATTTTTTGATCATCGCACTTAGCCAATCAAAATTGTGAATATTTTGTTACGGTAGCTAGGCAAGAAATCTAGATAGGTATAATGTGAAAATCACAGTTTTTAAAAAACTGTCGATACGTAACTTGAAATTTCGACTATGAAACCACATTCTTCGCTCTAATATAAAAAAATTCTAAATTCTAATCATACTTTAACGTAGGTTTTTTACTTTAAAATATTACACATTGAAATTGGTTTGTTTCTTCGAAGAGATCTGATTGGTGCATATTTATCAATATCTCAAGATAATGAAATCATAATCGCTGGTAATAATATTATATACTTTTTTCGAACTTTGAACGAAAATATCTCAGCAATTACCTATCTAATACATATCATAGAATAAAAATAAAAAAGTTTTCATCGATTTTAAGTGGGCAGTTATTGTGGTATTATCGATCAAAGTTTGGAAAAACTTAACTGTTAGCTTTGTTTTAATAATTGCCTAAATTCTTTTTAATTTCGAACAATAATTTCTCGGCAGCAAAATCAGTAAGTTTTTTTATATTAATTCCATGAATCCATAGGATAAATATAAAAAAAAACTTTCATTGATTCTGAATATGCAATGCACAATTCTTACTGTAGTGGCCCGCTGAGTTTATAAGCATACCGCGCTTATATTTGATTAGTCAACTTCGATGATCATCGTTACGTGAATTATTAAGTTTGAATTCATTTTTTAAAAAAATTTAATATATTATCCCTAAAATTTCGGGTCTGGTCGGGTTCGGTTCGGATTGAAACTCTAACCCGAAAATTGTCAACCTGACCCGTTCGGAGAACTAGCCCTTTTGATTTTTAACGTTTAATAATTCATGTAATGATGATCATCTACAGGTAGAACAACAACCCTTTTTTATAAGTATTCTTTCAAAATCTTTCGTGTAATATGCAACTTTTCCAAATATTTTCGTATCTCTTTCACAGGTAATTTAAAAGTTTGGAAAATATTTAGAAGATATTTAAAAGGATTGCATATCACACCAAAGGTTTTTGAAAGAATATTTGTCAAAAATATTATTCTTCTACCTGTGATCGAAGTTGGCAAATCAAATATAAGCGCGGTATGCTTATGAACTCAGCGGGCTACTACAGTAAGAATCGTGCATTGCATTTTCAGAATCAATGAATTTTTTTTTTGTTTTTATCTCATGGATTCATGGAATTAATTAAAAAAACTTTACTGATTTTACTGTCGAGAAATTATTGTTCAAAGTTAAAAAGAATTGAGGCGATTATTAAAACAAAGTCAGCAGTTAAGTTTTTCCAAAGTTTGATCGATAATACCACGATAACTGCCCACTTAAAATCGATGAAACATTTTTTATTTTTATCCTATGATATGGATTAGATAGGTAATTGTCGATATTTTTTTTTAAAGAATGTACTTATTTGTAGTGATATGAAATTAAATCCAGATAAAACTGATTTACACATAACGATAACTATAATCTAATCCGTATCAATACGGCAATCTGAACAGTTAACTACACAGTTCATATAGTTTGAACAGTTGATCGGCAGTCCGTATAAACTGTACAGTTTGTATAGTTTATACTTAGTGATGTGAACTATTCAAATCTGTATAATACAGATCGTATCCGTACCATATTAAAAGAGCCCATTTTGACAATTTTTCAAAATTTTTTTTTATTTGATTTTTGAATATTAATAATAAAAAGATCTATAAAATAAAAAATTTTTATATATGTTCCTATTTTTGGTCAAAATTGATTATACATAAAAATAGGCAGGAAAATCCATATAGTTCATACAGCTTAATCAAAAAAGTCATAAAGAGATTGAATTGAAAC